CTGACCTTAGGCAGGTCACTCAACTTCCACGCCCCTGCGTGGAACGGATTCTGGTCATCTGCCCTGACCATCTCACAAGGCCATCGCAAGAACCAGCCAGTGAGCCCGAGAGTGGCAGTGAGCGGAGAGTCCCCAGGGCGGCCATACCCAGCCAGGAGGCTCTGCGGGTGCACGGGGCGATGGGAGTGCGCAGAGAGAGGAGGTTCTTTGGTGTGCTGCGTCCTCACGCTGGGCAGTAACGGCCCACACAGGCCGGGCCTCTTCCAAGGAGGAGTGGGGAGCTCAGGCCTGAGCCTTGTGCCTGGGCCAACCGGCTCTTCAGCCCAGGCTAGTTGGGGTGAGGTGGGACACCCACAGCAACATGCCCCTTCACGCACTCCCCAACCCGGAGAATCCCCTCCGGGGGCTACATGGAAGGGATGTTGCCAAGTCACCAGCTGGACCCTTCCTCAGCTTCAAACAGGGGACCCGGGGGACAGAGGCCAGCAGAGAGAGGCAGGTGGACTCCATCTTGCCCCAGGAGCCCGCACGGCTGGCCCAGCTCAGCGTGGTTCCAGGTGTTTGGGCGAAGCTCCCCCAGGCCTCTGAGTGCCGGTTTCCCTATCTGTCAGGTCTGACCTGGGATCCTGGGGTGTCCACTGTTGCTTGGGACGGGGTGACAGGTGGAGGTAGGTGAACTCTTGAGTGGCGTGGGCAGAGGGCTGTGGGCAGCAGAGAGGGCAGCAGAGAGCCAGTCACAGTGGCTCCTCTCCTCCAAGCCAACCTGCTGGCTGGTGATTCAAGCGTAAGTTCTAGCCCTGGCCCTCTCTCTGGGTACAGGGGAGAGGCCCCTCCTTGGCTCTGTGGCCACACTTGAGCTCCAGCTGAGAGACACAGAGCTGCTCATCCTTCCCCATGCCTTGGTTCTCTGTCGGTAGCACTGGTGACCATGTGTTCTGCCTCCTGGCACAGGGATAGCCAGAGAGAGACCTGCCCACCTGCCCCTGAAGGCAAGTGCCCAGTCCAGAGATCAACTCTGGATTCAGGTGGCTGGCGGCCACAGGCAGCCCAGTGGCCATGCCTCCTGACGCCAGAAAGCTCTGCTGGCCAAGGCGCAGCATGGGCTCTCCAAACATTTGGGAGCATGAAAAGCAGCAGCCGGCCTGGCCCTGCTCCTAGGCTGACCTCTGAGGCAAAGCGGCCACCTAAACCCCCCCCCACGCTGGAAGAGCCCTATGACATGAACCCCCCTTTCAAGTGCTCCTTCTGCGAGCCAGGCAGGGAGCTGAGTCTCAGACTCTCACATGACATGCGGGAGGGTGGGGATGACCACCCCGTCCTGCACAACAGGAAACTGAGGTGCAAAGGGATTAAACGACTCCTGCAGGCTACGCAGCAGGGACTCAAACCTGGGTCTACGTGGCTGCCACGTTTTGCTCTTCCCACCACCCAAGGAAGTCCCTGGAGCACCCTAGCCCCAATCCGCCCCATCCCAGGAACCCAAACTCCTGGAGAGAGGACTTCAGCCATGCCATTAGCATGGGCCCAGCAGGCAGATGAAATCAGGCAGCAAGAGCCTTTTAAATTTAACCGTTCTCTGTGTGCGCAGCCTTGACAAAGCCCGTTCACAGCCACAGGCTGCGATAATGGTGTGCCCACGCCTAGAAAGCTGTGAAGTGCTTTACAAGGGCACAGGGTGATGGGCAAAGCGAGGACGCCAGCGTGGAACCAAGCTCTGCGTACAACATCTCTTTGTCCTTCCCGGTCTCCTGAGGGCATCTGTCACTGACCCTGCTGTGCAAACCAGGAAACTGAGGCTCAGAGAGGTCAAGCGAATTCTACAAGATCTTACAACCAGACTGAAGGCAAAGAGGGGACCAGGACAAGGTTTTCTGACTCGCATTCTCCCTACCCTACTCCCTGCGCACAGCCTTGCTTTGAGAGAGGAATGGGGACCTGGTGAGGAACGTTCCTCTTCCTATGGCAAAAGGGAGGGAACCTAGGCACAGAGCGTACATCGAGTTCAGACTGGCAGCCGGCCCTCTCCTGTCCTCTCCCCCAAGGCACATCCACCCTTTGCAGGGGGATGGAGCACATTCAGGTCCCTGGTTCCTTCATTTCCACCAAACTCAGCTATGTCAGGGAGGCAGCAGAGGCTCACTGAGGTGTGGAGCAGAGCCAGGACCCCAGACTCTCACACTCTGTATCTAGCACGCTCGCTCGCTCAACAGCCGCTCGATGCTTTGCAGTTGGATTATCTGAGAGGGGCTCTCAAGAGGCCAGGCAGCAGCACAGAAAGTCACATGGCTGACCTAACAGGTGACCCTGCACCTGCACATTGCACCAGAATGAAACCAGCAACCTGTCAAGAATCCATCACAAGATACAGTTTCTCTCGCCTGGAGCTCTGTTTGAAGGGAGGCCGGCCACCAGGCAGGGGCACTGGGGACAGCACGCAAGCCTGATCCCGCGGCCAGACGGGGATCTGGGAAGGAGCCTGTCTTTGGAGCCCCTTGTGCTCAGGAAGAGCCCTGCCTAGGAACAGTCTGGCTCAGGACCTGAGAGAGTTTGTCCTCAGGCCCCTCCCTGGTGCTCCCTGTCCCGTCCCCACTCCAGGGCTGGCCAGCCGCCTGCAGCCTCCACCAGGATGAAGCTTTGGTTTTATTCCTTTGGGTTCCTGTGGGGACCTGAAGGCACAAACTCCCCTCTGCCAATTTTTGGGAAGAGCCCTTAAGTGCCTGAGCCTTATTTATTTATTTATTTATTTATTTTTGCATTTTTATGTCCATATAATCTCTAACTTGTAGAAAAGTTGCAAAGCTAACATAAGAGCTCCCATCTACGCTCTGCCCACCTGCTTTGTGCTTGTGCCCCGAGCCCCCATCTCCCTAAGTACATCTACATGGGCATATGATTGCTCCTGACCTGAGTGAGGACATTCCTGGAATGTGTTGTCTGTGACAACAGCCTCTGCCTTGCTGCTGCCAACACACCTGGTTCATTTCCAAGTGCTTCACACATGTCCCTCCTATTGAGGGACGTGTTACAGACAAGGAAACTGAGGCACAGATCTCCTCATATGCAGTGTCCCTTCTATTAGGCTGAGCCACCAATGCCTAAGGGCTCAGCCTAAAACAAGCAGACCCCATGATGCAGACTGTCTTCCTGATAATATGATAACATGGTAACGATTTTTAAAAAGCAAGAAAGCCACGCTGCCCCAGTAGCAGCATGAGAGCAGATTGGGGCCGGGCAATCTGGGTCCTCTATAGTCTACGGTGGGCAGGTGCCATGAGCAGGGTGGACACAGGGGGCTCTCCTCCTGCTCAGCCCCAGCCCCAGCCCCAGGCCACCTGATGCTTCTGGGCTGGCCCTCTGCTTCCTTCCTTTTCTCTTCCTTAGACAACTGGATAAGTGGGCTGCCCAGGACTGCCCCTCTCCTGACATCCTCCTCCCATGTCAGGCTCCCCCTGCCAGCAAGGCCCAGGGCTGGGCCTGGTCTTCGTACGCAGAGCAGGCTGCACGTATAACTAATGAATGAGTGAATGAATGAATGAATGAATGAATGAGTGAGTGAGTGAGTCAGAGATCTAAGCTCTGGTTTTGCCTCCACAGGGCAGGATACTCAACCCCTCTGAGACTCTGTTTACCCTTATGTAAAATGGGGACGACACCAAGACTGCCAGGCTGGTTGCAGGTTGTCAGATCAGAAGAGATCTGGGGAGGTGCCTGTGCAGTAAGCGGGCATTAAGATCCCAGGGCTGACGTGGGTTACAATCTGCCGGGCCTGCTCTAGGAATAAACGGGAAAATGGGGAGAAATAGAGTGCAAAGCCACTGATGCGCACACACAATGTGGAGAGTATAGACACACGTATGCACACATGCACAAACCGCCACACATACTCACACATAAACATTCCCACACACCTCACTTGCTCACATATCACATACAGGCATACAGACCATACATGTAACACAGCACGCACATGTACACATACACACACCACCACGTGCACACACCACATGCTCACACACACCTACTCACACCCCTCTCACATGCACACGTTATACCACACACACAAGTGCACACATATCACATATGCATACACAGCACACACACACACACAGAGCCTTGCAGCTCAGCACATCTTAAGCTTTGCAGTCTCTCTTCCTTTTGGGCCAGAGGCCCTCAGAAGCCTGGGACAGAAAGTACCCGGGGGCTTCCCCTGCAGACACAAACATGCCAATCTCTGTAACACGCGCTGGACCACGCAGCAGAGCTCGGCGGTAAGGAAAAGAGGGATGGTAGGAGGAAGAGGCAGCTCTTTCCAGAAGTGGACAGAGAGGGCCTGTCTCACTCAGGTAAGATGCTGAGCTGAAAGGCAATGCATAAAAAGCACAGCTGTCTGATCTTTCAATACTGAGTAGTACATTTATACAGGATCCCATTAGCACAAGCAGAATGCCAAATGGTGCATGCACCCCTGCTAGCAGAAGGGGAGGATGTGTCTGTGAATGTGCACATGTGGGTGTGTGCCCATGTGGATGAGTATGTGTATGCCTGCATGGTGTATGCACGTGTGTGTTTCTGTGAGCATGAACGTGGGAGGGCTGTGTGTGCATGTGTGCATGCCTGTGCATGGGCATGTGTGCACATGCATGTGCGAGTGCGTTCAGGGAAATCACAAGAGAGATGGGTGTTGGGGCAGAGCTTAATATCCATGAGCTTCTTTCTTCCTGCACCGTTTAAGTCATTCATGCACCCACCACCAGCAACAGACTTTTCCAAAGCTGGGCACAGGCAGAAGCAGATGTCCTGAGTCCCACAGTCCCTGACCTGAGTCAGAGCTGCCTGTCCAGACGGCACAGCCTGCGAGCCAGGCCAGGGGGCCAGAAAGCAAACGTTCCCCTCGGAGCCTCACGGGCTCTATGAGGTCTGTCTGAACCACCCGGCTTCCCAGCGGGCCCTTCCCTGAATCCCAGTGCTCCTGCCAGATAAGAGAAGAAAGAACCACTCACCGCCTAAAGCAGCCAGCCAGCGCCGTGACTATTCCACTTTTCCTGGAGTAAGCTTTCCACACTTGCGCCGGCTGGAGCCATCGGCAGCCAGGGCTCCCACCTCTCCAATCTGCTCTCACACCCTCTGCGGCTCCGTACGATGCTTTCAAGTAAGTCACTGCTACGTGAAATTACACTCCGGAGCAGCCACTGAGAAAGGACCTGGAGGGGCGTGGAGGCTGGTGCAGAGTGCTCAGGATCCACCTCGGAGGAAGGCAGCCGGCTGGAGCAGCCTGCCTCTCTCCCCCAGCGCCAGCTCAGCTCTGGCGACCTTCTGGCCTTTGGTCTTGCTGACTGAGTGGCACTTGGAGCGCCCTGGATGCACATGAAAGACCCCGGGGCGGAGGAACCCCAGCTGCAACGGCGGCAGCGCCAGGCCACCTCCCATCAAGGCTGAGAGCAGAGACGGAACCGAGTACTGCCACTCGTGGGCTGGCCTTTAAGGTGTCACATCAGATTTTCCGTTCACAGACAAACCAAAACCAAACCAAACAAAACCAGCACACCACCTCCCCGCCCATCACACAACTCGCAGACCCATCAGAATTCACGGCAAGCCAGGCAGGATCCAGACGCGGTGGTGTCCTTAGGAAGCCAGCACACCACCCGGCCCGCATGCCAGGAGGGTCTCGCTGAGGCTCCGGCTGTGCGCAGGGGAAGGCGAGATACAGCGCACACGCACGCAGACACAGCAGCATTCCTCTCGCCTCTCGCGGCAGCCGATCTGACTGCTCTAAGAGAAGCATCAAGAATTCAAGCTCTGCGGGAGGCTCTGAAGCGGCTTTAAAGAAACAGGGCTTTGGGGGAGGTAAAAAATGAAGTTTAATGATGCACGATCCCACAACCACCTGGGGGGTCCTGCCCCAGGCCGCCTGCCTTCAAGGCTCCGATTCTGTTATTAAAGCAATGTGTCCGAGAGAGTGCTGGAACGGAAACAGAATCCAGCCAAGATGCTCGTGAGGCTGGCTGTACCCAACACCGCACTCAATCCCGTGTTCTGCTGCTCACTGTGAGAACCACGCTCGTCCCTCCCTCAAGCCCACCTGCGCCCCGGACTAGACAGAACAGTCTGGTCCTCTCTGCAGTTACCCCCCATGGCCCGTGCCCCTTTCAGAGTGGAGTATGGATTCCCTGGTACCTGCTCTGAACTTTGAAGCTCCCCGTGAGTCAGACGGGGCTACTTGGTGTACACTTTCTATTTAAAGATCACACGGGGCTTACTCACAGACACCATTCAAACCCGTAGCTTCTAAGAACTAGGTGCTAAATACGGTCTCTTTGGTCCTTACTTTCCATCAACACGGGAGATGTTCTCGTTGACAACCAGGGGTTCTTTTTCCACTGCCTGCTGCACAGGAAGCAGAGGTCACGGGGGCAGCTGCCTGCCCTGTGCACGGCATGGAGCCTGTCAGCCCTGGCCGGGCTGCTGAGGAATTAACCCCCCCCCCAAAGCCGTGCAGGAGCCATCCTGGGTGCCACGCTTGGCGGTAGGGAAGGAACGTTGACCCACTGGGCAGCAATCTTGAAAGCCTGCCTGAACCACGCCGAGGAGGGGCTGTCCCAAGCATATGGTGCTGCTCCAGATGGATGGGCTGGCAGGACTGTGCCACCCGAAACCAGCCGGCAGACAATGCTCCCTACACCATCTTCTTGTATATCGTGGTCATGGGGGTCTGGTGGGGGAGGACGAAACATCCCCCCACTGAACTCCCATTTTCAGATGATAATGATTCATCGGAGAGGCGGCCAACCCTGTGGCCAGTGGTTCTCCCTGGGAGCCTTGCCCCATCTGGGGTGCACGTGCACGACTCTAAATTTCCTCCCTCTCCTTGGTCCCACCATGGTCCAGGGAAGCAGACCGGCCATGCTCTGCAGCAATCCCAGCAGAAAATGGAAATGCAACGAGGCAATGGACCGGAGTGCCGGGAGGCAGGAGCTCCCTGGAGGAGAGCCCCACGCACCCCAACTCCACCGTGCCCCCGAGCTCCCAGCGTGCCAGGCCAGGCCTCTCCCTCCCTCTCTGCCTCCATCCCAGCTCCTCCGAGGGAAAACAAGCAGCCGCGTGACCAGACGAAGGAGCCTTCCTTGCTAATAAACCCGTCCTGAGGCTGTGATATGTTTCAGAAGGAACAGAAAATTACCTTTCAGGAAGCCAACATGAGGGAAGGGAACAGGAGGGGACAAAGTGCCAGAGCCGGGAGGCGAGCGCCACAGGAGCCGGGCTGGGCTGGGCCAGCAGCCCCCATCCCTGCAGAAGTCCACGGAGCTCCCCATGCTGCAGGCCTCAGGGGGCCGCTCCCGGCAGCATGCGGATCCCCTGGCCGCCCATGCCTGCAGACGGGAGGACACGGAGGAGCACGCGTGTGCCTGGGATGGGCGGATGGAGGAGCTGTGAGCCCGACAGGGTCGGGGAGGAAGGGAGGAAGGCAGGCCGGAGAGGAAGGGGTGGGGAGCGGAGAGGGAGGGCGGGAAGGAGGGAGAATTGATTTTCTCTCCTCCACTGGGACCACTGAGCTGAGTTGCCATGGAGAAAGGGGAGCCGCTGGCAGAGCCCGAGGCGGGCGGAGGAGCCATATGCCGGAGGGAAGGCGTCAGCAAGAGCCAATCCCACAGTTCTGCTGCTGCAGCCTCCCCCAGACCAGGCCTTGGGTCCAGGCGGCCTGGCAGGGAGGGGAACGGGCCGGACTCCGTGGGCCAAAGCAGCATCTGGTGGCCACCGCTTCCCGGGGGCAAAGGGGGCGAGGGGGGCTTTCCCTCCTGGCTCTGGGGCTCCACTGCCCCTTTGCTGAGAGCCCAGACCCTAGTCTCAGGTCACACTGCCGGCCAGATGTGGGGTCAAGACCCACAGGGGAGTGGAGACCCCAGGCCCCTCCCCACAGCTCAGGTGTTACCTGCTGTTCGGGAAGGCACAGTGGATCCCCACCCGCCTTGCCTCCCCATTTCTAAAACTCTGTCACCAAATTCTGAGTCACATTTTCCCACCCTCAGAGAGGAGGGGATGCCCACCTACGGGAGGGCTCCGACGGCCCAGCGCCACCCCTGCAGGAAGCGGAGGAGAAGGGAGGCCGCTGGGCACAGCGGGCGCAGGGAGCTCTCCCAGGCGCGGCGGCAGGTGGATGGGGACTCCCAGGCCCCCCACGCTGGGCGGCGTCTCCCACCGGCCTGCTGCCAGCCTCAAGGCAGTGGCAGCTGCCCACATCCCGGCTCCAGGACTGGCCATGGCCACCTCCGAGCCTCCTTGGGGCTGGGGAGAGAGATGCGAGGCCAGGGCTGGGATCTCGGTTTCTCCTCCTGCGGCCATAGGGCCAGGGGCAAGTGCAGGCACTTCTTGAAGCTTCTGTCTCCTCATCACAAACAGGGACAATATGCCGTTCTATCATCTGCACTCTTGGGCACCGAGGCGGGAAGACTTGGGAAGGCTGAGGACGCGGACTGTGAGGCCCCAGGCCTGTGCCAGAGCACCCTGCCTCTCCCGCCGCTCCGCACCCCTCAGGACGGCTCCGGGGAGGCCACCCCACCTCAGTGTCCCGACACGGGGATCTCAAGGGTGGGCCACACCCATTCCTGTCTCTGAAGGCGGAGGCCCTGGAAATGTTTTCTCCTTACAGTCCTCCTCTCACTTTTTCCCTCGACGTTTCATTATGAAAATGTTCAAGCATATGGCAAAGTTGAAAAAGATTTATAATGAACATCTATATATTCACCGCCTAGACACTACCGTTTCCTCTCACTTTTTTTTATCGAGGTAAAATACATATAACATAAAATTTACCATTTTAACCATTTTAAAAAGTGTTCACTTCAGTGGCATGAAGCACATTCGCAACCACCACCTCTCTCTAGTTCCAGAACATTTTCATCATCTCCAAAGGAGACCCTGTACCCACTGGCAGTCACTTCTCGGATCCACTCCTGCAGCCCCCGGCAATCCCGCTGTCTGTACGCATCTGTCCACCCTGGACATCTCACATAAAAGTGATCACACCACAAGTGACCTTCTGGGCCTGGCTTCTCTCGCCCGCGTGAATGTCACGTTGCGGCACGTGTCGGAACGCTCCCTCCTTCTCACGGTTGCGCAATGCCCCGTTACATGGACAGACCATGTTTTGTTCATGCAGCAGCCATCAGCTGATTGACATGTGGTTGTTTCCACTTTTTGGTTATTGTCCTCTCACTTTTTTGTTGTTGTTTTTTAGAGACGGCGTCTCACCGTGCTGCCCAGCTTGGAGCGCAGTGGCCATTCACAGGGGTAATCATAGCACACTACAGCCTCCAATTCCTGGGCTCAAGCAACCCTCCCAACACAGCCTCCAAAGTAGCTGGGACTACAGGTGCCTGCCACTACACCTGGCTTCTTGCTTTTAAAATCAATTCTTCAGAGCCCACTGGAATGTCCCGGAGTCTCCCCTAAGGGATTTGGTCTTGAAGTTTCAGGCTCAGAGGTCCCCAAACAAATACTCATCCGGCTTTGTCTTTCCACTAGAAGCAGCGCTGCCCACTGTGTGATCAATGTGGGGAGGCTCCATCTCGCCCCGGAGCCCAAGGCAGATCCCAGAAGCCCAAGTGTGGCCCACAAATCCTGGGAAGGTAGGCAGCGGGACAGGAGGACACATGTGCACACCAATCCCATACCCACGCCCTGAGACCAAATAAACCCAGGTCCAGGATCATCAGCACCCACGGGATGCAGTACTGGCCCGTCATTTCCCTTCTCTGGGCTTCAGCTTCTTCATCTGTGAAACGGGGTGACAATCCCGACCTCGTGGGGTTGGGTGCTGCCCAACAGAACTTTCCTTGAAGCCTGACATGTTCTACATCTGAGTCATCCACTGGATGACGGCCAGGGAGATTCAGCCACTACCTGCTGCTGGCCTCAGGTGGCTACCGAGCATTTGAAATGTGGTGAGCGTGAGCAGAAAATGGAATTTTTCACTTTAGTTTACAATTAAATAACCACACGGGGATAGTGGCACCCACCCTAGACAGAGCAGCCCTGAGGACTGGTGAGATGGCCAATGTGGAATGTCGCATGGCGCCGACCCAGGCCTAGCTCCTGAGTCGTCTTCCCTCCACTCTCCCTCTCCCTACTCACCCCGCGGCGTCTGGGTGGTGGGGCAGGCTTCCGTCTGCAGCCTGGCTCCAGAGGCCCCCTCTAGAAGGACAGAGGGTAGGCGGTCGGGCTCTCAGGGAAGAAAACAGATGCCACCAGGAGCCACCAGGGCTCCGTGGACTCCATAATGGCATGGGACTGTGAACCACGGGCCTCTCCTCTCTGCCCTGTTCTAGAACCTCCCTCCTGCCGTTTCCCCCAGCAACTCCTGAGGTCACCCCTGGAATGTCCAGGCAGGGGCTGTAGGATTGGAACAAACCCTCCCTTTCCCTGATGCGGTGCAGACAGCCCCCGAGTGGATGTGCAGAGGGTCCTCGCTTCTAGGCTGTGTGGTGGAGCCAGGTGCTGGGGAGACCCTCCCATAGAGAAGCAGCAGCTCTCTTGGGCTCCTCCGGCAAGGCAGGGAGAGTCTGGCCTGGGATCCCCACCGGAACCCAGCCCAGCCTTCCCACTTTGCAGACGCAGAAATCCACACACAGCTCAGCACCCAGCAGGCCCATTGTGAGGGCGAGGGGAGCACGGTGCACCCTCCTAGGGCCTGCAGGTGAAAGGCTGTGTGCTTCTCGGGAGGTGCGTGGCTCCAAAGCCTGCACAGCAGGGACCGAAAGCTGAGCTGAACCCGTCTCTCCTTCCCCTGACCCACCCGAACCCATGCACACCGGGAAGGGAGAAGTGATATTGAAAGAGGGGTAGTGGAGAAAATGCAAAAAATTCGAACACGACCACAAAGTAAAGCATCCTAACTACCGCTGTGCTGAGCCCACAAACAGTCATGGGGCCTGTGCGGCGGGGGGTGCAGCGGCTGCCCGGGAGCTAGGCTCCCAACCTTGGCGGTCACTTGCCTTTCACCTTCTCCACATCCTGCCTGGTTATTTATAGCTCCCTCTGAGAACGGCTTTACCCACTTTCCTGAGCTGGACGAGGTTGGTGAGTGGCAGTCAGGCGGACCCCACCTCAGCAAGCCAGAAGGGGTGGCTGTGATCCGATCAGGCCTGCCCTGTGATGGGGACCATGGGGGTGGGGGGGGTCTCTGAGAGTCACAGGTGACTCATGCCCTGCCAGGCTCAGAGTATCCCTGGGAAGGTGGTGTCCAAAGAGTACCCGGGCAGACCCTTGACCAGGGGTGCTGGAGGATGGTGACCCCAGAAGGGCCCAGGGCAGCCCAGGCCTCCTCCCTGCTCCAGGAAAAACAAACAGATTGAGACAGTGGAAAAAGAGCTGTACCTTTAAATTATCTGGCGCACAGATACGAAAAACATTTGCATGCTGAAGCTGTTTGCATCTTCGGTTATTTTTAGGGTGAACCCTGTTGCCTCCCCTTGGAACCGGATGAAGCCCCAGAGGCACGTAATCCTTTTTCCCAGATGGGGGTCCTGGTCCGGTTTCCCTGGGAATGAGGGCTGGAGCGGGAGCTCTCTGGGACCCATCGCCCTGGCCAGAACCCCGCCTTTCGCTCGTGGAGGAACTTGAGCACCAGGGAGCCACGGCAGTCTTGCCGGGACTTTGAAGATCCACGGCCGCTGCTGACATCACAGCTGCCTACCTGGGTCCAGTGAGAACCCCATTTCCACCCCCAGAGTGTGAGGTGAAGGGAGGATCCGCTGCCTCCACCCACACCAAACCCAGCTGATGGGAATATTTTGCTGACATATTTCTAGAACAAGCAGCAATTAGGGCAGATTTGCTCTTCCACTCCCCCTCCCCAAAACAGGAATAAATCAGTTCTACCAATTTCCCAGCTAATGATTTCCTCCATTAAATTAAAAAGAAGAAGAAGAAAATGTTTTTTTAAATGGATTACCAGCTCTGTGCTTTCAGAGACCACGTGACCTGTCGACTCCTCTTAAGGCCTGATACATCAAAGTCCCTGAATTAATTTTTAATAAATAAAAAAGTCACAGTCTAAGAAGCACCACTCTGCACTCCCCCCTGCCGGCCCCCAGGCACACAAGGGTCAGCTCCACGCCTGCTCTGGGAAACCAGCATCAT